AGCAATCTCATGAATCCATCAGCTGCACAGTTCAACCCCTCTTGGGCTATTAAAATACTTTCACATAAGCACACTACGCAGGCTGCTGGCTCATCATCCATGTCCTGCAAACAGTAACAGTCTCGGCAATTTCTACTGTATAATTAGGGCTGAACTCTCAAATTTTTTCTCATTTTATTTATACCATTAATTCAGTGGAATACTACGAAAATCTTGTTTTAGACGATAACAAATCAAATCAAAGTATACGGGTATAATCAATTTGCATTCGAACTATTAACGAAACAACATACCGTAGAAGTGATTGCAAGAGTTATTAGTGATATCCATTTGTGCATGTCAGCAGCGCTCTGACATATGAACTGGATTCTGCTGTTTTTAAGAACGACTTCGAACATATGTGGTGAACGGTCATCACCTTTGAGTTCAACTACATCAATAACTGAATCTCTAGAAAAAAAACTCTTGCAAAGCAATTTTTTTCATTTCTGTCAGTTAATACAAATCCAACTTATTTTAAAAATACCTGACAGATATAACACGTTCACCAAATTTGCACGTAGAGTCGGAAAACTGATAAATTTTTTTATTTTGCAAATGAAAGTAGCTCTGCTGGAAATCGCCTGAGCCAAGTAGCCACGAAACGCCACCCCCAACTTCTTTATGATACAAAAAACCACTGTGCTGATAACCGTCTCCATTCATGCTATATAGCTTCATTTGTCTCCATTGTGCAAGATAATATCCATAGAGAACTGGTGCATCCTGTAAACTGCAAACGATTCATATTCACATGACATGATTTACAGTAACGCTCTCCCACTGTTAGTTTCTACACGGAAACATTAATTTAAAATGACATAAATTATAGCACTCTTTCCACAAGTTAAAAACGTTACCTTATGCAACTCCTTGGATATGAAACGAATAAGATACTGTGGAGTGGGATCAGGGCAAACTTTTAGTTTTATTTTATCGAGTTGAAAATTTGACACATAATTCTCATATGCATAATTCAGAGCATCCAAAATGGTGATACCAAGCTGTTTACATGCCATGCATATTTCCACGACTGATAAGAACTTATCATCTTCAGCTTCGCATACATTGTAATCTTTCTCAGCATGCAGATACATCACTTGCCAGTCTGGACCAACCTGAAAACTTCGATACAAATAATCTATGTTGATTAGCAACCATTTTATTTTTCAACTGATAGTCTAGAATATAACTTACATGAACACTACTGATGTACCGGAGTGGTAGATACGCACGTGTAACATATGACTTTTTAGAAGTTATAAAATTTTCTGCAGATAACAAATAAGCTGCCTGATTGGAGAGAGCAAATAATCGCCTTTCGATTTCTCCTGTACCGAAATGCGAATACACCTTTAAAAAGTACATGCAATAATAATTCATTACATGCTTTGCATGTTAAAGATCCGTAATTTTTCGACAGAGCCAACCTAATCGAAAAAAAAATTACTTGCAGTAGTTCATTTTTCTTTATTTCTGATTAGGAATTTTTGAAGACAAAATAAAAGCAGTAGATACCTGGAACAAACGCATAAACCTTTCGGCGTCGTGCTTGAAAACATTCATGCTAAGGCCAATCATTTCACCCATATCCAACCTTGAAGACCATTTCTCAACTGTTAAACAAATAAGCAGTAAATGAACAAATATCGATTCGCTATTTTATAATTTGAATCCAGAAATGAATTTTTTGGCTTGGAAAAAGGTCCATTTGATCTATTTTAATGGTTTTTTCAGTATTCGAGAAAAATAAAACACCTTATTTCGCCACATGGAAGATCGACTAACGTTGTTATCGGCGATGTCCTGTATTCACATTCATTAAAGTGAATATCCTCTACGGACAATTTTGCTTTTGACAAGCTTGTTTTCAGTGCTATATCGAAAGGATCCGTTGAAACAACAGCACTACTGACCTAAACATACATTACAGCAAAGCGGCAAATCTGTGATATTATAAATCAAGCACCACTAAAACATAAGAATTTGGTAAAATTTGCAAGTGCAAAGTGGTCACTTATAAGGCATTAAGTTCTGACATTAACATAACCAGCTGTAAGTTTAAATAAATGATTAAACTACTATAATGCACCAGATTTCCAGTAGTTTTGATTTCACACTAATGACTACCGAAAAACTATAACAGAAACTGTATTCAAAGCAAATATAATCAGCAAGCAAAGTTCTGGAAAAATAAGAAGACCCTATTTAATTACTAATATAACTTGAAGATTTGTAATTTTTCGAATAAAAGTCATGGTCTTTTTTCAAGATTTGAAAGGACATGCGCGCGAAATTTCAATGAAGTTCATAGACGCTCAAAATAGCACTTAATTGGGAAGTATAAATGATTCAGAATACATTTTCTTTAGTCGAAAACTTTGTATTGATGGTAATTTTTTGTTTTTTTTGTTATAAGGTGAAGAATTTCCAAAGAGGGACAAAACAACATACGCCACAGACAACCACCTGCAGAAACCCAGAAAATATTCACGAAGAAATTACATCTGACTTTTTTGTTGATAACTAACGGTATGTTTTTCTTCATCCACAGTGTTTTTTAATGCATCTTCTTTTGAAAGACAACAGTGGATACTATCTGCTGATTCACTCTTTCTACGCTTCAGCAATTCACCGAAAATTTGATCCTGAACATTCCCATTTACCTTTAAATTATAGCTTTTTTATTCAAAAAACATTCACAAATGCCTTTTAGCAATTCAATATAACATTGTTATTAATAAGGTATTATGCATTACCGAGTCGTTTTCTGGCACAGCGATATCTTTATCAAATGATGTAGTATGAGTTTCCACAAAATCAGCCGGTAATGGTACATCAAGCAATAAAGGTGAGACATCCTGAGAATGTGTTGAAAATTGTAATCGAGATTCTTGGGGAATTGCCGAACGGCTCTCTAATTCACGTGAATATCTGCATAAAACAGCGGAACTGCCACTTGATGTTGACGGTCGCTGATTACCATGACGCATTATTGCTATTGGAATATTGTTACGTCTTTCAAAAGGTTTCTGGAAGATTACAAAATACTAAGTTTTGCTCTGTAAAGTGACAATAAAATAAAAGATTTCGCTTTAAAAAGGTTGAAAGCATATTCTATACATAATAAACGTGCAGAATTAAATGTTTATGGTAGAATTTCCACATTTTCAATTTGGAATTACTAATTACGATTTTTCAGCAACACACAACATAAGCAAAGAGCAAACTCCTCCAGCAAGACTACTAGTTCCCTTCATTTATTTGATAAATGTAGTGAGATGATCAAACTGTGCGCTCTTCCTGATAGAAACATCTGAAATGAAAACAAACCAAAAATTTGAACTGTACTTCGGTAAAAGCTATCATTTTCTGGACAACACGAGAAAGCAGGGATTGATCCGTCATCACAGCTTCTTTGTGGTAGAACTTTCGAACAGTTTCTATATCTTGTTGAAAAGACTAAAATATAGCGTTCTTTAAAAGCATTTGAAGCGAGATACAATGGAGAATTGCAATGCAGAGAGCAGAAGAAAACCATTCGTCAATCTACAAAGTAAAAAAATATCCATAAACAGTCTTAATATCAAAGAATGAGTGGCAATTGATTTCAGTGAATCTGATGAATATATCTGCACTATGTAATTTTGAATAAAAAGAACATATACTTAGGAACCTGAAAGTGATATAATAATGTTTGCTTATTGAGAACATCCTTGAGCCACGCAACCGACAGCTGTCGTGTTGAAGTGACACGCCATTCCCGTTTCAGATAGTCAATTTCGTTGCGCGACATGAACTCTTTCACAAATACCCAGTATAAACGATTACCTCTGTTAAACCTAAGCAAAATAACAGAGAGATCCCAGTTGCAGGGAGGTGTTTTTTTTCTCGCAATCAATTTACAAAAAAAAAAAAAATTCAATCATAGCAATTAATTCACAATGCTATCATTTTCTGCGGAACTTGAATTACGCAATGTAGAGCTGAGAAAGAATGCCGACAGATATACACATACCCGTAAGAAAGAAAAAAATCGAAGATCGTTACAAGATTTCGTGCAGCAACAGAACTCGAGTCAAGAGGTTGATGTCGACCGTCTAATAAATGTCGCCTCCATTCGACCACTGTATCCGTGATAGCATATGTAATAGAAGCTTCGATGTGAGGATGAAATGACTGTGTGATTTCAGCATAATGTCTTCCGTTTCCTCCTCTTTTGAATCCATTCAGTGGAGCTATCGTTATCATCTTCTTGTTCAAAATTAATCATTTCACATATACATACATTTCATTTTATATTCCATTTAAACAAATGCTCAACGGTCCTGTCCAAAAGAACGGTTCACAAACTCTAGAGCTATTCCAGAGAAACATAAATTAGCCCCTTACGCTGTCTTCATTTCCTGAGGTAATGAAGATGCCAATATGTAAAAAGCTAGTCCTGGACCAAGTTTATCCTTAATCCTGACTTATCACCAACTTCCTCATCAATATCTGACAACCTTCACAGCTATCGAACAGAAGTTCTCTTTAAACCTCACAATGTCTCTTTCAAATGCAGCATCTTCTCATGCCACCTCATGTCTGCGTACACTCATTTATTTATACTGCCTCACTCTCTCAAACTCAGTATGTGACACAATATTTGACACACTCTTAAACATATATCAATTGCTGGAGTGGTTCAACATAGTTTTTGCGAACGTACGTAGGTGTGGAACTGTATCCGGGGAAATTGGAATTCAAACTATACTGCTGATCTCATTTTTTCTCATAGTTATTGACAAACATAGCTGTTGCCTGTTGGCACCAGTGATTTGAGATTATCTTTTCTATGTCTGATGTTCCAGTGATAGTCTGAATCGCATAGTATAAATATGGAATTTTTTAGTTTAGAAATTTGTTTTCAGCATCAGAGTATCAGTTTCAGCCGTTTGCATGCTTTAAACTGTCTCATCATGCCACTGAAAAGCCGAGTTGATGCAAAAAGAACAGAGTCTGAACGTTTGCAAGGTATTGTATTGTTTCATATTTCTCGTGCAAGCGTCTTATATATTTTTACAGTATGATATTATGGAAGCCACCCGTGTTCTGTAAAATTAAGAAATACCAAATATCATGAATTTCTGGTAAAAATAGGTGTTTTTAGAAATAGTGGTCGATCTTTTACGAGAAGAGGAAAACAAGTACTGTGCCGACTGTGAAGCGAAACAACCTCGATGGGCATCCTGGAATCTAGGAGTATTTCTGTGCATACGATGTGCCGGGATCCATCGTAATCTCGGTGTTCATCTCACTAAGGTATCGTCCTTTGATCTTTAAAGGAATTAATATACCTTCAGTTCTGTAGTTGATTTTTTCCTTTTAAAGTTGTGAGAATATGATTGTTTGGTCTCTTCAGTTTTAACTACCTTGCGATGTGACAAAATGCAGGTCAAGTCGGTCAATTTGGATTCATGGACCCCAGAGCAGGTCCAAAGTATGCGGGTCATGGGCAATAAAATGGCACGCCGTGTTTATGAAGCAGAGCTTCCTGAGCACTTTCGTAGACCACAAACAGATTCTGCTCTGGAATCATTCATCAGGGCAAAATACGAGCAAAAGAGGTAGTAATTTCCATAGTTCCAAGATAGTAATTTTCCAATTTTTGTTGAGGTAACAAGTTTTTTTTTTTTCTGTAAAACATATTATTATAGATATATCCTGAAGGACTGGTCGCCGCCTCTACCTGATGTAAATGATTTACCACTTCGTTCGGATAAGAGACAAATTTCTGATCGCGGTATGCTTCTTAAGCTTAGTTTTTGTGTTTCTACAAAATCATTCAAATCACTTAATGAAGTGTCAGCTGTGCAAACCGTTGTTATTATTTCAGATATGTGCTCAAATGTTAGGGAAAGAAATCACTGTGCGGAGTCAATGGAAAAGACAAGAAACGTGACTGCGGGTTCTAGCGTGGCGAATGCTATTGGTAAAAAAAAGGATGGCGCAGTTATAGATATACCGCTCTTAGATCTCAGTACTCCCATGGTAGATATTAGTCAGAATGAACTCCCACCCACACTGGTAAATCAGTAGTAGTTTCTGTTTGATGAGAACTTCAACTTCTCTGTATTGTTTTATTAGTCTTACGTAATATTTCTTACGCAATATTTTCTCTTCTGAAAGCAGATTTTTGCAGCCTTTTACTGTGATGGATAAAAATATGGTGAATCTGAATAATAACATCAAGGGAATCAGAGAGAGTAATGAAATGGAAGATTTCGGCCCAATTGTTGCTGCCCCGCCTGCGAAACTGCGGTCTGATATTTTTGCCACGAATGCTGTAGCGTCTTCTTCTAATGTCAAAAGTGGTTTTATAACTTTTGGCTCGCAAAACAATTTAAAAGACTTAGTATCTGTGTTAGGATGTGGTGCCGTAGTGAATGGTAAGTTCCGGAATAATACAATATTACATCCTAGCAGTTCTTGTTGTTTGTGGTGAAAGAAACATTCTGAAATTTTCCTTTTTTTTCAGAGAAAAAGAGTACTTCAGATATCCTTGCTTTGTATGGAACTGCATCTAAATTTTATCCTCGGCCAACAAAACAGTGTCGAGTGCAACAAATTTCTGAGGTTCTTCGTTTAGTTTTAGAAAAAAAAATTTTTTGAAGCAGTAATGGAATAATATGAATAAAGCATCTAAAAACCTCTGACCTTTTTAAATTATGTATGCTAGTTATCTCGTTTTTTTTTTCTCTTTGTCCGAAGTTTTTCCACTTGAATATTTCAAAAAAAAAAAGTCTTTTATTTCTTTGTTAAAAAGCTGAACAGCTGGATTCTAATAAAATGAGTCAGTTTTATGTCTTTATTAATGTTTCCCTTCAGGTTTCATCCAGTGATGACAAGGCTGACAAACTAAGGAACATACATTTATCTGATGCGTCCAGTATCGGGTCATTTTTCGATCCATCCATTGTTCCTTTTTCTCAGCGATCTTGTGGATCTCAAAGCGGTTGTAAGTTTATGGCTAGGTCTGGAAAAACGGTTTATAATCAATTTTTATTGTTGTGGATTTGCGTTTTACATTTTTTTACGCATTCTTTTTGTTGTTTGAAAATACATTAATCAAATTTTTATCCAAATCAGATAGTACAATGATCTATGTCAGATGCACAGTTAGCTGTATTTGGACCAGAAACAAACACTTTATCAGTGGGAAATTTTTTTCTAAATCGTGAATCAGCGGCGATGTTCGCTGCAACAGAAAGTGAAGTTTTATCGGCTTCTCAGACGATTAGTTCGGGACAAGTGGACATACCATCCAGAAAAATTTCGGTTAGTGCCTAATTAATTTTATCTTATTTCACTGAATGTTATATATTTCACCTTCACATTTCACATTCTTGAAAGATTTTTTCATGGAAGATAGGACTTTCTTCTTCAGAGGAGCCGTGTTTCTGACTGTATCTTCTTTCTGATGGAAGGTTCCTAGTCTTTTAATTACTGAACTTCCGAGAAATGAAGTACTTTAAAAATATTTGTGGTTTGTTCTATGTAATATTGTATGAGCAGATAACAACTGATTATCTTAAGGATGGATTCGCAGCAGTAAACATCCAGCCGAAATCGGATGAAGATAGAAGTGATATTGTTATTTCATGCAGTACTACAGAGGTTATTCTTAAATTTGTTTTTTTTTTTTTTTTTGTTTTTTAAGTATTGATATATTTCTTTAAAAAAGAACCGAAAAAGAAATCGTCAGTAATAGGAAATATTTAATAACAGTTTTATTAGTAATATTTGAGTATTTTTTATAAAAACTTACCTGTCTTTTTCCTACTTTAGCTTCATCTGTTAATAAAACATTGCTGAGAATACAAATCAAACATGAAACACGAGTAACTATTTAATACATAAGTACGTGAAATAATGATGAATCTTAAATTTACGTTATGTATCAGTTTACTTAAACGGTCTCCTTTGCTATTGAAACAGTGTAATTCGTCACTTTTTGGACGATCCATTGGAGCTTTTCAGCCAACGTTGGACAGAATATTTGTACCCCTACTTAGTGAAAGACTTTTGGACAGTCGTTATTTCAGGTTTCTAAGAGTGTGTTCATGAGTTATTTCCGTTTACGGTCACGTAAAGCTGGTATCGGCTGCGAAAATACTAACTTTTGTATTAGAGCAGTACGTTTAAAGTGTACAGTATTCTGGTTTACTGCATAAGTGGGCACAGAATGATTGAAATGAAACACTGTATTGTGTGTAAACACTGTATATCCAGAAATACATTGTCTGGAATGCGCTCCGTAATGTGGTGAATGGTTTAATAAGTCGTATTAAGATAAAGTGATAAGAGTACATTTATCGCTCATAATAATTGAAATACCTTCGGTGTATGGCATTGCTGTGGACATCTCCCATAATTGATAACGGTTAAATTGGTGGTATGATTTCAATTGCATCATATACATCGTATGAAGTATTAGCTATGTGGAGATCAGGATTATATTGATTAGAAGTTGTATTATGCAGAATAGATGGTTCTAGTACGTTTTATATAGACTTAAGATAGGGACAAGTTGCTAGGGTCTGAGAATTGATGAGATGAACTGTGCTTGCACAGCCTTGTTGAAGTAGCAGTTATGGTGAAGGGACATATTATGGAATGGAAGTTGTAGGAAACAAAAACCAACGAATCAAAATCTGTTTTGTTGTACTTTTAGGTTTCTCATTTCACTTCACTATTTCCGATGTGTTCACTTCCTGAAGCATCTTGCGCTCGTTATCTGTTTCATCTATCAACATTTTCTTATTAGAATATCGTAGAAGCTGAAGTGTTTATATTACTGAAAATTTATAGAACACAAGAATTTGTTGCACATAGATAATAATTACAGCAAATATTAGAATAACATGGAGTTGTCAGTTACGGCATACTCTTGTTTTCTGATTTTATCTTTATCTGTTGTGTAAAATTGTCAAAACCTATTGCTGAAAACTTATTCCACTTACAGGAAGTGAGGAACTCAGCCGTAAATCATCTAATGGCAGATTTTAGTCAGTTCAATATCGGTGACGAATCGTGAAAACCTAATAGTTTACAGAAAAATATTTCATGGAGTTAGAATCACATGCTAATGTGCAAAGCTCGTTTACGTTACGATCATTAAAAATTATTTCTAGTTGGTCATAATATGAATATCCTTTTTTATTGTATCGCTTTCTACGTATTTCCATTTTGCTTTTGATGTAGACTTCCTCAAATAGAGCACTAGCTTTTGTTTGATAATATTTTCATTGGTCTTTAAAAATCACTTTCTTATTCCCCATCGCTTGATGCTCTCATTGCGATTACTTCTTATTAAATAATAGTGGATCCATGACCGTTTGTTGATTGGTCGTGTGTTTAATGTATTTCCCGAAAGCTATTCATTTTGATATTTTTTCTACGTTCTGAATCCTACCATCTGGTTGCTTATCATTCGATCATTGTTGACCTCTTTTTATGAATTGGGATCTTGCATAAAATGGTTTAGAATTTTTTTCATTTGCCACTGGTTACTTTCGAGAATTAATTCATATCATTTATTTATTGGCATTAAATTGTCAAGTGCAACGACTTTAAAAAAGGTCTATTACTTTCATTAAATTGTTTTTATCACTGGTGAAGCTATGAAAGGATATGTAAGAAAATCTTAGAAAAAAAAGAGTTAGACTTGAGTTGTTGACTTTTGCGAACTATTGCATATTATTTTCTTGGTTGTTCATTTTTTTATTCATGACTTGAGCAATACACACATTATGTTCGTATCATATAGAACCGAAGAATTTGTGATAATGTGCCATTTTTGCTATTATTAGGTACTTTGATTTTAAACAGTCTTTTATAGTACCAGTAACGAATTTTATGAGACGTTTAGTTATGGTTATAACTAAGTTTTTAGCCGGGCATCGCATCTCGTTACGACTGTTCGATTTAACACTTCATTTTTGTGTTAGGAAGTATTCGTAGTCATTCGTTCATTGGTACTTTACCCTTTTCATGTACAACCTGTTTAACTGGTTTATATACCGTTTATCCTTTGTATCAATGCATCAGCATTGAAATTATTTAAAGTTAGTTACTATGGACCTATTGTAATAGTAAAGTCCACTTTAAGAGCTGTTTCAGTAATGCGTGGAAGTTAATGATTTGTTAAAATGTGGTAAAAATTTAAATAGCCTTTGATCTACATCTGGTACCCATCGTCGCGATTGTCAGAAGGGCGATGGCTTTAAAATAGAACTGTGCTCACAGTAAATCTTCAGCAAAAACCGCTTCTAAAATTTTGCTGATTGTCGAAGTACTAAGGACGGGAATGATGAATGACAGTGTGAGAAATAGCATCTGGTTTCACAATTCTATCAAATCTTTTCTAGGTAAAGGGTCTCGTTGAAAGTACTTTTTAAATTAAATTTCAGAGTAAATGTTCAGATGCTCTGGGAGATCGTTGGAAGAGCATATAGTCCAAAGACTATAGTTCCGGTTTATGAAATTCCTGTATGGAGTTCCAGTTGTTTTAGTAAATCTCTCTGTTTGAATAGTTTTCTGGAGGTTTGGAAGTTGCGAGCCAAAACACAGGAAATCAAGATATATTGTAAACAAAAGAATATTAGTTTGGGCATAAACGCCGTCAGTTTAATTTCTGGATATTAAGCTACCAATAATACTTTGCAGCGAAGACTGGAGTTAGAACTGATCTTTATTTTATTAAGATAAAAGATGTCACTGAACGAGGCTATTGAACAGTATTAAAAAATTTAAGGAAGTAAATCTGTAGGGGCGCAGAAAGCGCACTATGTTTGGAGCGGTGCTCGCCAGTTAACCTATTACCTCCTTTAATCTGTTCATAGAATAGGAACTGTATGATTACTGTAAGTAAACAGCTGTTCCTAATCAGCTGCTCATAGTAGTGAATTACAATTCTCAGACATTGCAAGTAAATTTGGTTTAGAACAAAGAAGGTTGGTTGAAGCAAAGAATAGTCAAATCTGAGTTTGGCTTTTAGGCTGGAAGATCTTGATAATAAGTAATGCACATATTCTTTGTTAGCAAACTGTGAAACTCCAGACAATGCAGATGATTATTGCATAACGAATTTGATGATTGAAACATAAAAATACGACGATAATCTTTAATCTTATGGATTCAGTACAAATTCATTTCGACATATATTATATTCGGTTTTTCCGCTATGGAATTGTACAAGTTGTCAAAGCAAGAAGAAGCAAAAAATGAAGCAGAGGAAAGCAATATTTTTGTATTCATGAAAAACTTGCATAATGTTTTCCATGAAGAGACATTCTTTGAAACATTACATTACTTGGCTGGTGACTTTTTCTTTCAGTTCACTTTCATCTCTCACTGTTCCACATTTCTGAAAGCTTGTTAATTGCATCTGTGGATTTTGATATTTTATCTAAGTAGACTGTTTCCTTAAAATCTGAAAAGCAATTAGGAAATCAATATAAGCAAACCAGTCAGAATTAATATTGTTTTATTATAATTTTGAATTTTGGAATTTCCTTCCTTTCCACTACAACGTATCAAGGTCAATTTGAGTTAATCCACTGATCCGTTTCTGAAGTTTATAACTCCAAATATGTTCAAAACACATCCGGAAGTAAAAAAATCCTCAAAATTTTAAGAAAACATCTTTTTAGTTCTTCAATCAGTAATTGAAAGTGAATTTGTGTTCCATAATTCTTAAAGGATTGATGTATTGAGGCAAGGACGGGATACAATCTATGAATTATTGTTATAAAGTCCTTACAATATTTATTTCTTACAACTCATATTTAAAAAATGCCGTTATGAAGCAATAAACATGAAATGTACAGCTAACGCGATAATTTTATTGCCTTTAGGAAGTGTTAGCTTGAAATATCTGTTTCGGAAACACTAGAAGAGTCGTTTTTAGTGCTATGGATTCGATAGAAATTCATTTGGACATATTCGGTTTTTTTCAAGGACTGATGAAAGTGATTTAAAATTGTTGAAGGATTTTGGTGGTTTTAGTTGTCGCTCGTAATCATGGAAGTGAACTGGTTCGGATGACGTTCGTAAAGATTCACGAGACCACGAACTGTTATTATGCGTTTGGCATTTCGTCTGGTCATGAAGCATTTATCCTGGTGGCATTTCTGGAAAAGATGGTGATAGCAGTTCATCTCCCCTTATTCTAAAAGTTTGCAGGACTTTCGCTCGATGTATTCAAAAAACCATTTGGGATTTGAAGACAGCGCGGCATATGTATTATAATGATATGCATAGGGTTAGAATAAGACGATATGAAAAGAAAGCAATATCTTGCGACGTTTTTTGTCTTCCTGGCGGCTATCTTCATTCCCAACCTTTTTCATCAACATCTAGCATCGTTCCTCAACATTAATTTAAAAATTGAATGATTTTTATGTATGATTCTCTGATGATAAGTAGTAAAAATTATTAGTTAAGAGCAGGTTGAAGTAGCATGGTAAGATCCTGAATAGAAGTGATAATCTATAAGTGATAATCTAAGTGATAAGTGATAATCGCCGTAAGTGATAATCTATCACTCAAGTCTATTGTCAAAAATTTCAGGCTCTTATGTCAATTTTATAACAATCGCTTTAATAAGAAGTTTAAAATTGAGTGATTATTACTGAAGAGTAGGAGTACTTAGATTTTTTACATTAATTATTAACACTGTAAGTATTGTATCAGATATTCATCTACATATTCTCAATATCCCAATTTATATTTCTAAAAACTACTTAATCAATTTTTTCACTTTTTTTTGGAATTAAATGTGAAAATTTATAAATTTCTTTTTTCTTTTTATTTTCTCTTATTGATTTTACCCTAAATAAAGCTTCCAAAAAAAAATAGTCTAAAAATCACTTAGTTTTTTTTACACTGATTATTAATTTATCATTTAACAATGAAGTGATATAGTAGCTGAACAGTGAACTTGTAATAAGACATTTCAATTTCCTCTTGCAAAAATTATGAGAGCTTCGTTACAGATTCTAGAGAAACATATCGTTCTTCGGTGCCTAAAAAAATAGGTGATTGTTAGCGCTCATTCAATCTCACATTTAACTCTTTACTATTATAGTGCCATGCTTTTGAGCATAATTTTTTGCCGACTTGCTGTATAGTTAGTTAGATGAGGCTTCATTTTTTTGGAAATTTTTTCCGAATTCTGAATTTCGACATGAGGTGATGAAGTCGGCAAATTGAATAGTCACAAAATAATCATCAAGAAAACTGGCAGCAATACATCAACCAACAGTGAATGAAATTGATCTTCGTAAAAATTTTTCAGTACAGAAAGTTACACCAAATCATCATCGAAGTTTAAACGTCTATTCTTTCAAAAACACGTCGCAATGTCCATTTGATTAACACAGCAACGAAACGTATTGAAATGAACGACTTCAATATTTAGCCTCAATGCCTTCATATCGAGTTAAGAAGTGAGTTAAAAGGACCGGAAGAAGCGTCAACAAATCTGTTGTTTCCCAATGTTCAAAGATAGATACAAATTTCCAAAATCCAATTTAATTATACAAGGCTAAAAGCTTTTCGGGAAACAAGTTCAAATTTATATCTTTTAATATAAAAAAAACTTTTGTTCATTTAACTTAAAATTTTGTCTGTTTAGTTTCGTTTTTCACTCATGTGATCTCAACAAGTTTTTTTATTACTTGCTTTGAGTAGACTGAATTTATCCGTAATCGAGAGCGGTTAAACAAATGAAATAGCTCGCAAACGCCTCGCTCCTATATGACTGAAACAGAAACCGCATTGTTTCTACCACAAATATTAAAGTTCATTAACTTGATTTATTTAAATAAAGAGCAAAAGCTAAAAAAATAACGATCGAAAACATTGAATAAAGAAAAAGAAAAAGGAAATAAATTACAAGAATGTAGAAAAATAAAACGAAACGAACTGATTTTAGAATGAAGCAAGAAAAAAATGTGGAAAGTGAGATTTGTTACGAGATGGGATAATTTGACAGAAAAAACACCCTGTTTACTTGAGAAAATTACAATCATG